TGGCTGCTTTAAGAAGCTTCACATGGAGGATGGAAGTCTGCAATGTCAAACATGTCGTGCAAAGTGGCAAGAGGGTACCTTAAGATACAAGCTGGTTGTTAGGGTAGGTGATAAGACAACTGATGCTCCATTCCTCTTATGGGACAAGGAGGGCTGTGAAATAGCTGGGAAGACTGCCTTTGATCTCCGGACCAAATACTCAATGGTAAATAAATTTGCAATCAAATTAAAATTTATATATATATAATCTATACATATATTTGCTACTTAACTCTTGGTTATTTAAAAACATTTTTTTCAGGATGGCTCTCCACTACCAACTGGTATGGAAGAGGTTCGTAACAAAGCAATGGTTTTTAAGGTTTCTGCTAAAGCCGATCATTTCAAGAACCGAGCCATGGCTATACCAGTTGTCGGGATAACCTATGATGCGGAATTAGTTCACCATTACTGTCCATCTTTGACTGATGATCAGGACCACCTATCCATCATGCTTGATGAAGATGACCAAGATGGACAGTCTGAAGTAAGCACTAAACTAATGGTCTTACATTGAACCAAAACAACATTTACTTAAGTATACTTATTTCTTAAACAGGAATCTGAATCTGGAGATGAGGCCAGTAGCCCAAATGTGACTCAAACTAAGAAGCAAAGGACTGCTGAAAATAATCAAGCACTGGAAGTAGCAGAAACTAAAAGAAACCTGATCGATCAATTCTCCTCAACTAAAGATGTTAAGAAATCAAAGCCTGTTGTCGTCAAACTGGAGAAGAATTGAAAGTGAAAGACCTTAATTGCTAACTCTCTGTTTTAAGGGTTTAATGCTGGACAATTTGCACTGCATAGTGGTTTAGTTGTATGGATTTGATGTATTTTCTAAACCTTTTTTGATAATATGTACTGTGAAGTACATATTATATGTTTTGGATCATTTTAGAACCTAATCATTTGCTTTAAATCTTATGCTTTAAAAACAGTTTAGGTGCTCTTTGTTATTGTTATTTGTGTATTGCCTAACATTTTGCAGGTAAGAAAACACAGATGTCAAGCAGATTTCATGCAAAAGTACAAGATCAAGCAGTCCACAAATCATCTTTCAGTTGTCTATCCATCAGATTAGCAGGAGATTTAGCTAGAGTAATTAAATATGCTAGATCCATACAGTAATGTACTTTGTTGACAATTGTATTACCTCAACTATCACATTGTACATCACAGACTGTTAGTAGAAATAACATATTATATCTTATAATTATTCAAAGGCATTCGGTTGTGAATACTGCTACAAATTAAAAACAGTTTACCACTAGATTGGGTCATTTAAATCTTTACATTTTTGGAAAATTAGACACTAATCAAATGTACTCACAAATAAAACAATTGCATATATGTATTTGAATACATATTAAATATTAAACTATAAAATACTTTGCTACAAGAAGAAGTAAATCATTTTTTTGTGTTTGTAGCTGGCAACTAAATGAAGTGCTTTAGATTTGGAGTCAAATCAAGATTGTAACTGTATATAACAAGTTTCCAAAGAAACAAAAACCACAATTTTGAAAGTACAGATAAATTTTTCCCCAATGCCCCATTTCCCATAAAGAAAGCTATACCTCTACTAGCTAGCTGGCTGCTCCTAAGGCTAGGCTTCCTGGAATTTCTTCCTAGAATCACAGATTTCTTTACTTCTCCCACAATAATTCCAACTGAAAAAAATTGAAGCAGCTACCTCTTTTTGAAAAGGACAAAGTCTTTATTTTCAACACTTTTATTGGGTAATGGCTTATTTTTCAGCATAGGATACTGAATCTGTTTAAGATTCCAGCAGTCCATGTGTGGCAACATATCTAAAGGTTACAACTGATTAGATACATCAACAAATTGAACCCGGTTCTACAATGTGATGTCTTTTTGATCAATTATCACCCAGTAGTATGTTGAAGAAGGCTAAGGCTGTGGTATTAAAAAAAAAATTTATCATTTCTTTTAATTTTTTTTGTAATGTTATTCACTTTACCATTACAAATCTGTCTTTTACAGCTTTACACACCAACTAAAAAGTTTTTTTTGAATCAATACAGTATACTCACTATTTATTTCGGTCCTTTTCCTGTACTTTAAAGCTAGATAATTTGAAACATATGCTGTTAATATATCATTCTGTACTCACTCCTTAGATGCTTACAAAAACTATAACCTAGGATTTTTGGCTTTTAAAGAAAAGATTAAAGAAAATAATAGAACACACTGTTCAATCTCAAGTAATTTCAAATTCATTCACATATGTTTCAAAATATATAATATTACATTTGAAAATGGAAATTTGGAGTAAACGACAATCGGAGAGTATTACAAAAACAGGTACAATCATGACTTCCCTGGTCTTCTTCAATCTTTCTTTCATCTCTTCTGATTCAGTCCTCATTCCAAATCATTAATATTCAACTAAAAAATCTACAACATCTTAAGTAATTTCATAAGTGGCATCAGAAAGTAATATCATCATTTGCCAGTTTCTCAAAAAATCCTGTTAGAATTTAACTACAATTAAAAAAAAAAAAACTGAATAACATAGTTCATTTGCGATAAAGGCAAAATTAAAACAAATAAAAAAAATAAACAGATTTACAAATGTAGTCAATTAGATGGCAGTTGTAATCAAATGTGAATTCCACAAAATAGACATATACAAATGTAAAAGTGAATAACTGATGGACTATGGCTGTTATACTTCCCAATTACAGTAATCATTAGTTTTAACCAAATCCCAATGCTTTGGAATTATACTTTTAAATTAAACAATCTCAGATTCAAATTGATGAGATCACTAGACAAATTTAACATTCACCTCAAATCACCACTTACACAAACACACTATGCAAACATACTCAGTCTAAGTCAATGCGGAAATTAACTTCATCAATAGTCATCGGCGCAAAAAGGAAGAACACACTATCTAACCAAGGTACTTTAAATAAAATGTCAAACCTGTATTACTGTGATAATCTTATTTGTATTAGATCATTGCTTTTGGTGGGAGATTTAGAATCTGCATGCTACTCCATCTTGCTTATATAATTAGATCTATAACTACAACCTGTTTAATCACAATTAAAGAACAGTTTATTTAGTTCAATGGTAAAAATTAGTATTAGCATAATAATAATGAAATTAATAAAATGATTTCGAAATCTTGCAGTGAAGAAACGTTGTAACAGTATTTGATTAAAAACTAAGAACTATCATAATGTTTATGCAAATGAATTAATATTTATACTCATATAGACAAATAATATAGTAAGAACAAAATAAAAACTGGAAAATGTACTTATCTTAAAAAATGCTGTTTTTTTCTTCTCTTTGGCATGTGAGGATGCCGTTGTTTCTGACAGAATTAAACCCAGTTTAGGCTTAGATTTCCATAAACATAAGAACTCCTTCGACGGAATTTCTACCGCTTTAGGGTTTCAATTTTTGGCTTTTTTCATATGTTTTCTGGGTTTCGAAGAACAAGCTAGAAGTATTGAACAAAACTGGCAAGGATATCGGAACTCATTTGGCGAAAAATATCTCGGTTTAGGGTTTCGATTTGGCCGATAAAACTTCCACGAGGATAGCTTTTCGTGTATAGAACTTTGAAAATGGGGATTTATTGAGCTTAAGGTCCCTCATGGCTTCGATTTCCATATCCGTTCATACGTCGCGATTAGGCAATCGAAACCAAAACGCGAAGAAGACGGATGGAGGATCGGAGACCACAGAGCGAGGATGAGAGGGGATGAGGGAGAGAATGTTTGGGGTGTCGGTCGGCTGGGGTGGGTTTTGATGGGTGGGCCGTAGGTAGTTTTGGGCTGGGTAGAGGGTTAGGTAAATGGGTTTATGAATGGATTTTAGTTTAATTATTTTAAGATTATTATTATTATTATTATTATTATTATTATTATTGTTATTATTATATTATATTTGTTATTATTAGTGTTAGTAGGATTTATTATATACTCTGTTAATTTTATTTAATATTATTTATTATATACTCTATTAATATTATTTATTACTGTCAGTATAGATTCTCTTTTTAAATAAATGAATGATCTTTAAAAAATGTAAATTAAAAGTATAACTTAGTGACATTAATAGTATGTAAAATTGAACATGTATTTAAATTTTTTATATTAATATTTAAATTGTTTTATAATTATAAATGTGGTTTATATTTTTGTTATATTTGTTTAAAGTAATACATACATTCATATATTTTTGTTACAATAAGTGGCGTATAAATAATTATATTATTATTAATTGTTTAATTGGTTACAATTTCTTGATTTTTTTTTTGACAGAAAATGATTCGGCGGAAAATGTAACATTGAACACACCCACACCGCCCGTGTTGCCTGGTAAAATGATTTCTCTCTAATTTTTGTGTTTGTGTAATTGTTTTCACATATATCAAATTTTATTAACATCGACCAAATTTATATCGTTTTTATGGTAAGTTGTATTTTTTTTATAAGATTCAACTTATTTGTTCTTTAAATTATTACAATCTTTTTGTAGACTATTCAATCTCAGTACAGTCTACAAGCTTTAGATCTCAACTAACATGCATTAATTCAGCAACTCAAAATAAGAAGCGTGTAATTCAGGGACATCGTAATGGGCTTCCACCGCAAAATCTGAACTCTAGCAATGGTATGAGCAATTATAATTATAAAACGATATAATTTTTTTTTGTACTTTTTTAACTTATTATTTTTGGTTGAGTTTCTGTTAGTAATACTTACCAACAATCATTTCTTCTCAAGTCAAAGTGATACACTTTTAAAATGCATTCATGGTCTTGGTTAACTGTGTATAGTATATTAAATATTTTATATTATATCTCTCTACTATAAGTTATTCTAATAGCTTTGTTGTTTTTATTTTTCATAATAGTTTGCCAAAATTATATTGAACCAAGTACATCGCGATCAACCGTCGTGGAAGTTACACGGATGGAAGACAAAGAAATTCGAAGGCCTTTAGCAAATTTGTCAAATGGTAAATTATATAAAACAATTAAATTCTTTATTAAAATTGGAATACAATCAGTTACATTTTGATAATTTAATAATTTAATATTCGTATTTATTTGCATCTTTTAGTTAGTACACCACAGTCATGCGTTGTGGATCAAGGCGGGTTGTCGCAAAATATGGAAATGCAACGTCGATTGATGGCAGATTTTGATAACGTGGTCCATGATACTACCTCAAAGCTGACAATTCGTACTGGTGGGTAATAGACTATTAATTAGATAAAATATTTGAGTTTCATACTAACACTTACTTTTGGTCTATAGATTATTACGGTGATGTTGGTGATCAAATGTATTCCTGTCAGCACTGTGGAGCTATGTTTTGGTTAGAGGAGCGCGTTAATAAATCAGCCGGTGTTCGGAATCCAAAATATTCACTATGTTGCAGTCATGGAAAGATCAAGTTGGCACCTACATATTGTCCACCTCCTGCAATAGGGCAATTGTTCTTTAACCAAGATCAAAAGAGTTCACATTTCTTGAAAAATATTCGGTCCTTTAACAATATGTTTTGCTTTACTTCCATTGGTGGCAAAATTGACAGAGCAATTAACAATGGTAGTGCACCACCAGTCTTTAGACTACATGGTCAAAATTTTCACTTGATGGGCAGCTTGCTACCAGTAGCTGGCGATCGTCCAAAGTTTGCTCAATTGTATATTTATGATACTGAGAATGAGATCAACAATCGTCTAAGTGCACTTGGGTAAGTTACGATCAGACATACATTACTTTAAATGATCATGAGCATGTATTAGCATCAATTGAACTAAATTTATTGATTTTGTTTATTGTAAACAGGGATGATGATTCTACGACTACATTGCATTGTGAAATTGTTAAAGACATTAAGGATGCATTAGATGAGAATAATGTTTTGGTCAAGAGTTTTCGCATGGAAAAAATGGAGATGGAAAGTAATCCTACAAGAGATATTAAAATAAAACTCATCGGAAGGAGGAACAAAGATGCAAGGACATATAACTTGCCACAGGTTGGAGAAGTGGCTGCTCTGATTGTTGGTGATTTAGATCCAAACATGGGGGAACGAGATATATTGGTGGAATCTAAAGCTGGTCATTTTCAAAGAATAACTGAATTACATCCATCTTATCTACCATTGCAATACCCATTACTCTTTCCTTATGGTGAAGACGGTTACAGAGAAGACATACAGTTTAACAATGTTGCAGGTCAGAGTTCGAATGCAAGAAGTAAACTTAGTCCCAGGGAGTATTTTTCATTCCGTTTGCAAGATAGGTTCAACGAAATGTCAACATTGCTTTATTCTAGAAGGTTGTTTCAGCAATATTTGGTAGATGCTTATACCATGATAGAATCAGGACGCTTGGTTTATATTAGGACTCATCAAAAGTCACTGCGATGTGAATCATATAAATGTTTGACAGATGCGTTAACACGTGGTGAAGTAGATCCTACAGCCCAAGGAAAGCGTATCATTTTGCCATCGAGTTTTACCGGAGGAGCAAGATATATGGTGCAAAATTATCAAGATGCAATGGCAATTTGTAGATGGATTGGTTATCCAAGTCTATTTATTACATTCACATGTAATCCCAAGTGGCCTGAGATTGAAAGGTTTTTACAACCAAGAAAACTCAAATCTGAAGATAGACCAGATATTATTTGCCGTGTGTTTAAAATGAAATTAAACGCACTGATAAAAGAGATCCAGAAAGAAAACATTTTTGGAGTTGTTGATGCAGGTACTTTGTTCTATTTAATTAATAATTTTTGTTTGTTAACCATAATAAGCATATTTGAATTATAAGTTTACTATGTTTCAATCTGCAGTAATTTACACAATTGAATTTCAAAAAAGGGGATTGCCACATGCTCACATTTTAATATTCTTGGCAAAGAGCAACTCTTATCCTACTGCAAAAGACATTGATATGATAATATCTGCTGAGATCCCAAGTGAATTGTGCGATCCAGAATATTACAAAGCTGTGGAAGAATTTATGATGCATGGTCCATGTGGTGCAGCGAGGAAGAATTCACCTTGCATGGTAAATGGTAAGTGCTCTAAATTCTACCCGAAAAAATTTGTTGAAAGCTCTACAGTGGATTTTGATGGATATCCAATATATCGCCGTAGAGATAATGGTTGTAAAATAAGGAAAAATGGAATTGCCCTTGATAGTAGATATGTAGTTCCACACAATAGACATTTGCTGATGAAGTACAAAGCTCATATTAATGTGGAGTGGTGCAACCAATCTAGATCAATAAAGTACTTATTCAAGTACGTGAACAAGGGTAATGACAGGGTCACAGCTGAATTTTACAATAGTGCGGTTGAAGAATCTACTGGAAAGGTTATAGATGAAATCAAGATGTACTATGACTGTAGATATATTTCGCCGTGTGAGGCCGCTTGGAGGATATTTGCATTTGACATACAATTTAGGAATCCATCTGTTGAGCGTTTGAGTTTCCATCTTCCAAATGAGCATTCAGTAATATTTCACGATGATGATTTGGTGGATGATGTTGTAAATCGACCAACAGTAGCACAAAGCATGTTCACTGCATGGCTAGAGGCGAATAAAAGTTATGCAGAGGCGCGGCAGTTGACTTATTCACAGATGCCCACTAAATTTGTTTGGAAGAAAGATAAAAGAGAATGGCATCCAAGGCAGAGGAATTGGGCAATTGGTCGAATCTTTTATGTGCCCCCATACAGTGGTGAAATCTTTTATTTGAGATGTTTACTTAACATTGTTCGGGGACCAACGTCATTTGATGATATTAAAAAAGTGGATGGCGTACAATATAATTCATTTAGAGATGCATGTTATGCACGTGGTTTAATTGAAGATGATAAAGAGTATGTCGATGCAATCAGTGAGGCAGCAGTTTGGTCTTCGGCACATTCCTTAAGAAAATTGTTTGTTACACTATTGACATCCAATGCAATGTCAAAGCCAGAAGATGTGTGGGAGCTGGTCTGGCATTACTTATCAGATGATGCTGAATTTACGTGTAGAAGAAACCTCTCAACTTCAGGTAATAATTAATTATTACCTCATATGTACGTATCCATTTTTTATATATAATATCTTACAATTTTGTTTTTTTTTTAGATCTAATTCTCAATGATTCTCAAAAAAAGAATTATGCATTGTTTGAAATGGAGAAGTTGTTGAATGCTTGGAACAAATCTCTAGCAGACTATCCACCGATGCCAATGCCAGATCAAAACGGTGATTTGTTTCAGGGAAATAGGTTGTTGTTCGAGGAAATGTCATATGATAGGGAAGCTCTAAGGCATGAACATGATTCTTTGCTTCAGAAACTAATTGAGGAACAGTTACTCATCTATAATAAGGTGGTTGCAGACGTCCAGTCAGAGATGGGTGGCATGTACTTTGTGTATGGTTATGGTGGTACAGGCAAAACCTTTTTGTGGAAGACACTTTCAGCAGCTCTAAGGTCCAAAGGTGAAGTTGTATTAAATGTTGCGTCAAGTGGTATAGCTTCATTACTTCTGCCTGGTGGAAGGACTGCACACTCTAGATTTGCTATACCAATTTCTGTTAATGAAGATTCCACTTGCAACATTAAGCAAGGAAGTCCACTGGCTGAATTGATCATCAAAGCCAAACTTATTATTTGGGATGAAGCACCGATGATGCACAAACATTGTTTTGAAGCATTAGACAGGACAATGCGAGATTTAATGCGTTTCACAAATCGTAGGAGTTCAACGATGACCTTTGGAGGTAAAACAGTTGTTTTGGGGGGAGACTTTAGACAAATTCTTCCAGTTATTCCAAAAGGTACTAGACAAGATATAGTACAAGCCAGTATTAATTCTTCTTACTTGTGGAATAATTGTGAAGTTCTTCGTTTAACGAAGAATTTAAGATTGCGAAGTATTAGTGATGAAGAGGAGGTTGAGAAGTTAGATTGTTTTGCCAAGTGGATTGCAGATGTAGGTGATGGAAATCTTGGGGAAGACAATGGTGTTGATTGCAATATATTGATTCCTTCATCCTTTGTATTGGAAAATGAGGGCGATCCCATTAGACAAATTGTTAACAGCACATTTCCTGATTACCATTCTGGAAACATGGATGCAAGACAACTCGAGAGTAGAGCTATTCTGGCCCCAACATTAGATGTTGTAGACGAAGTGAATGAATACATGAACGGTATGAATCAAGCCTCATCAATAATATATTTGAGTTGTGATTCTCTTTGCAAGTCAGAGGCAAATGTTGATATGCAATCTGAGGTACACACAACAGAATTTTTAAATAGTTTGAGATGCTCAGGGGTCCCCAACCATTGTTTAACTTTGAAAGTTGGTACTCCAATTATGCTGCTGAGAAATATAGATCACTCACTGGGACTTTGCAATGGTACAAGGTTAGTAGTCACACAACTGGGAAATCATGTTATTGAGGCACAAATCCTATGTGGCAACAACGCAGGTACAAATGTGTTGATACCAAGGCTATCTTTGACTCCTTCAGACCCAAGACTTCCATTTAAGTTTCAAAGAAAGCAGTTTCCAGTTATGTTGTCATATGCAATGACAATCAACAAAAGTCAAGGTCAAACGCTTTCACATGTTGGTTTGTTACTCAAAAAACCAGTTTTTAACCATGGCCAGTTATATGTAGCAGTTTCTAGGGTGAGTAATCCTGACGGTCTTAAGGTGTTAATTTGTGGGGAATCTAGAGGCCTTTTAAACAAAACTCAAAATGTAGTTTACAAAGAAATCTTTAATAATGTGTAATTTTTTTATGTTTATGGAACGCCAATATAATATATTTTGTCTTTTTATTATGTCTACAACTTTATTCGTACTATATATATATATACAATATACCAAGCTTTTATATATTACATCATAATATCATGGCCGTGCATCGCACGGGTGCAATACTAGTATATACTAAGGTTCTTATGCAACTCTTTAGTATTCATCTTATAGCTAATTTTCAGTTTTGTCCCCCAATTATTTACATTTATTTAATTTTATCATTGTCTTTAAAAGTTACTTATTTAAATTTTAAATTCTCTTACATACTATTGATTTTTTTACTTAATTTTGTCCTTCGTTAAAAAAGTGGTTAAAGTTGAGGATAAATATGCTTGGACTATTTTTTGAACTATTTCAATAGTTAAAGGATCAATTTCAAAATTTTATTATGTTTGACTTTTTTTTTTTTCTTGCATTTTAAGTTTTAAAATGGTTGAAAAATAACCATATCATGATTTCACAATCAAGCACCAATTGTGTATATTGTATATTTTTTTGTTCTTTTCTCATTAGTAAGATTTTTACTTGAATTGAAAATCTATTGTTTATTAGGAGAAGAGATGGTATGGTCGCGGGCTCACAGCAATTTTGAGAGAAGAATAGATGGCGACAATGATTTTGGGAGAAGAACAGAGGCATCGGTGGAGCTTGGCAGTGGCGGTAGAGGTTGTAGTGGCGGTGGCGTCGTGGAGAAGGAGTAGATCGGAGAAGGAGAGGAGCGGTGGGGAGAATGAAGGAGATGAACGCGTAGGGTTTATGCGAAAATTTTATTATTATTTTAATATTACGTTTCCGTGATCGTTCCAAGAGGAACAGTCGCGGAAACTAATACTTCATTTTTTAAGTAATTAGTAGGTTTTAATTTTGAAGCAATTAGTAGTTTAATTTTAATTTTATAGTTATCATTTCATTAAATGTTCGTATGTTTATTTTAGGGAAAATTACACTTTTCGTCCCTAAGTTATAGGATAATTACAGAATTCGTCCCTAAATGTTGGACATGCTCACTTTTCATCTCTAAGTTATCATTGGCGTTGCACTTTTCATCATTTCGTGCTCACTTTTTGTCATTGAGTTATATTAAAATTATAAATTTCGTCTCTAATGTTTTATTAGTGAAGAGATGAAAAATGCAACATCAATGATAACTTAGAGGCGAAAAGTGAGTATGATCAATACTTAGGAACGAATTCTATAATTACTCTATAGCTTAGGGACGAAACGTGCAACTTTCCCTTTAAAGTATAATGCATAAACAAATAATTAAAAATATAATTTGTGTAATTAAAATGGTGGGCCTACAAAAAATTTGTAAAAAATTTAAAATTGTTAAAGGAGAAAGAATTTTTTGAGATTGATTGAGATAGTAAATAGGGGCTCACAAAAAATTGGTGAAAAAAATTTAAACGGTTTTTTTTTGGAGAACGGCTATTAAACGGTTAAACCCTTCTAAAGTCTCATTTCCACTGCGTAGGTCCCTAACATGGCCGTTATCTGCCGTCCAAAACCCCTCGCCGCCCTCCTGAGCCACGTGGCCACCGCTGCGCCACCACTTCTCCGCCTACTCCACACTCTCCGTTCAAGACCTTATTCCACATCTTCCTCTGCTCTGCCGCAGCTCGATCCCGATTACTACCACCACCACTACGGCGATCAAGCCCGCTATTCGCCGCCGAGTTCACACCGAGATAGGCCGTTCGCGGCGGCCGTGAATCCAGACACTCAGGAGTGGCTCCCGCTAAGAGGAGTGCAATTGGTGTTTATTGGTTTCAAGACGAAGCACCTCTACGCCGAGAGGCTCTCGAAGCTTCTGGAAGTCCCCCACATTTCCATCAGTAGCATCCTCCGTCAAGACCTCAGCCCTCGTTCCTCCCTCTATAAACAGGTACGCGTAGTTTTCTTCTAAATAATTTTTTTTCGAATTTTGATGCCAATATTTATGTTAATTTTGTCAAATTTAAGTCGAATTGCTTGAACATAACTTATATTGGTGGAGAGTTTGAGCTTCTTATCGAGAATCAAGAAATAAACTATTTTATTTACAGTGCAAATTTTGAAATAATTTGCTTCGAACCTATTAAATTAGTGAGTAAATAAAAATTAAGAGGCTAGTTGTAGATTGTGATATAGTTCACGGAATGAATTTTGAGGGAATACAAATACTATTTCATAGGAAATGTAATAGGTAAGGAATAGAATAAGAATTGTATTCTATTATTTGGTTCGGTGAAGAATAGACTTTAGGAATTGGATTCTATTATTTGGTTCGGTGAAGAATAGACTTTAGGAATTGTATTTTAGTGTTTGGTTGGTTAAATGAATAAAAATGGAATAGGGTTCTGGGTTTAATTTGTGTGTTATAAATTGAGAAAGATTGCAGATGCAATGAGCCGGAGAACAATTGTTCCTGAAGAGATTATATTTGGATTGTTGTCAAAGAGGTTAGAAGATGGATATCACAGAGGAGAAACTGGGTTTATATTAGATGGGATTCCTCGAACGCTGCCCCAAGCTGTAAGCACTGCTCCTTTTATGTATATACATTTGTATGTGTACATTCGTAAATATGTACGTATGTATGTATATGTACAAAAACTCTTATGACATGATAGAATGGCTTATCGACTGTAACATTGGAATTCAATTTTTACAATTCGTTATCTTGTTTGCAGGAAATTCTTGATAAACTCGTCGACATTGATTTGGTTATGAATTTCAAATATGCTGAGGATGATGTAATGGACATTTGCACAAATGGCATCCTTTCTAGGCACCACAATTCTGCAGACTTGGGAACACTTGCTACTACTAAATTGGGATCTGCCACATCAAAAGAGGAATTTGCATGGAGGGAAAAGCTCCATATGTATGCAAATCAGGTATGCATTTTCCACGATTTAATGTAAAAGCAAAGCAAAGAATATAGTTTTTTGAATGCTTCATTCTACTTGGGCATGCATAAACAATCTCGTTTTACTTGCAATTATAGTCTTCATTCTGCAGGGTCTCTCATTCACAATATACTGTTTACTTCGTGTCCCTGTTTGCTCACTTAAACTTAACTGCTCTCGTAAAAGAAAAGATGAAAGATAACATTCAAATGCTCTGTATGGATTTTGATTTATGATCGGAAAATTCTTGTTGCTTTAACGTTGTCTCTATAGTCTATAACATTCTTACATACCTGATACCCGAGTTAAAACGAATGATAGTATATCCTTTTCAACACCAGCTTTGTTACACACCGGAGCGCCAATGCAATCTTTACAGCGTTCTCTCCTAATCATAACTTTAATCTCACTCACCCCCGATGAATGCTGCCAAACATTTGCTTCAGCTGTAAAATGCTTGGCCTGCTTTTATATGCTTATTATTATCCGCAATTTCTAACATCAGAGAGTTACTGTCTTCGAACGAGATCAAATGAGTTTGGAAATAACTTCTTGCTTTCCTTGCTGCAGATCAAGCCTGTTGAAGAGCACTACAAGAAACAAAAGAAGCTTCTAGATATTCGAGTAAGTAGCGTCCCCGGTGAGACATGGCAAGGGCTTTTGGCATCTCTACATCTGCAGCACATGAATGTTCATCCCAGATTTCCTCCAGAACCAAATCAGCCTTAATGTCTTTTTGCTTGAGAGATTGTATATTTGTAGTTTACAGTTCAACTGCCAGAATATAATAGGATTTCATTAATGCATGTATATATATATTATATATGCAACATGGATGATTCTTTGACATTGTGTGTATATATATAGTTCTTGTTGTTACTTATTTGTTTTATTTATAATTATTTGTTTTATTTATTTATTTATTTCAAACCATGAGTGGCGAAAATATGTATCTAGAGGACCGGAGCTTGGCACCACTATTCTTAAATTATTATCTTAGGAGTGTGATATTGGGTACATGATGAATTAAAGTTTCATATTTGGACACTTGTAAAATTTTTTTTTGAATTATCGAAGAAAATTTACAGTCATTATTTCTAAAATGGAACGTCACAGATTCAAATTCCAGTAAAAGTATTGACTTTTTATTCTTTATTAAATTTAAAAAATATATATTACACAGTAACAGAGTTAAAAAGAAAAAAAAAAAAAAAAAAGAAGATATTTTCCTTTCCCGTATATCTGTAGATTGTGTCTGTAAACATTTGCGGCATTTTCCAACTTCACACACTTTCGCTGTTCTCTCTGTGAGCGAGCGCGTGAGAACCGACTATTCCAACTCCTCTTGCTGGCTGCTAACGTGCGCGGGGGGCAGTATTCGGCGCACTCTAAAGGAACTGAAGAACGAGGAGGAGAAGAGGGACCGGTGCGCACCGTAGCTATCGCCATACGGGGAACAGATCGCGCGCTCTGTGTCTCCAATTCGGTAAATCTATACTTGTCTCTCTGGAAGCTCTAAACTAACCAGTTTTCTCTCTGTATTTCATGGGCGTATGCCGTTGCTAACTTGACGATTTTATGTATGTAAAGGCGTGCGTATAAGTAGGCATTTGGTTGTCCGTTGAAAGGATTTGGGGCTTTATTCAATGGCCGCATCAACGGCGAGAGCTCGAGCGGATTACGATTACCTCATCAAGCTCCTCCTTATCGGCGACAGTGGTTAGTCTGATTTGCATTCTCGTTTCTTATGCTATCTCATTTCCGATCGATTTGTTTCAATGTCATGAAATCTGCTCTCCTTTCCTGTAATTAACTTCTGGCAAGTAAAAGAGTTGACCTTTGCATTGATCCAACTGACTTCATTTATTCACTACTATCAAATTAGTAAAATTATGAAAATCAAGGTTACTTAGCCTTGCTAATCATTTTCCATTTATTTTCCTTGATTTATTTTTATCTATTTGCAATTTTTGATAATGTATGGTACTATAATCCTCATGACCTTATCCTTGCTAGTTATGGTGAATTGTAGCTGCAATATTTCGAGCCCTTGAGTTATTTGATGTGTCTATCGACTATCATTACTGTAATTCTTGTGAAGAAACTTCCTTAAACCTTCTCCTTATGAGTTGTATTTGCTGCAAGGTGCACTAGATTCTAGCCTTCTGTATTGTAATATTCTGACATGAACCCTGCAGGTGTGGGCAAGAGTTGTCTACTTTTGCGTTTCTCAGATGGTTCCTTCACCACAAGTTTTATTACCACCATTGGGTGAGTTTTTCTTTGCAGGAAGCATTTGGTTCTTGTATATCACACTATGGAAAAAAAATACTATTTTGATTATAACTGTGGGTTTTTGTAGGATTGATTTTAAGATACGAACAATTGAGCTGGATGGCAAGCGCATCAAACTCCAAATTTGGGATACTGCTGGTCAAGAACGGTTCCGAACGATCACTACTGGTAGGTTGTTGGATTTTTCTGTCAAAATTGAAAAACAGGGAAAACGTGAAACATGCACTTGCTCAATTTAAGAACCTATGAAATTATCATCTTAATTTTTTCCATTGGATTGGACAAGAACTATTTCCTGTTTATGTTTGAATTTCATCTCATCTAGGCACTTTCTTATCTACTAGGAATAGCTCCATGCAACTGGGTAGTACATAGTGTTCCTCTGACTTGGCCAATGTAGGATAGTTCCCAGCTTGGCAGGCACTTTCTGTAATTATTGAAAGGATTAAAATTAAAAGGGGAGGATGAAAATCAAGTGTTGGCACTTCAACATGAATTACCAGTGTGATTGTGCAATTGAAGTTTCAATCTTTAATCATTATTTTGCCCCATGTACGCTGTGTTGAGATCAGTCCTGCAAATAGCTTCTCATATATTTCTTAATGACTTCTTTGCATCTCTTTCTTGGTTTGGAAAAACCTTTTCTGAACACACTAATTACTGTTTATTTTTGTGAAAATGATTCCTTCCAGCATACTATCGAGGAGCCATGGGTATTTTGTTGGTTTATGATGTTACAGATGAATCATCTTTTAACAGTAAGGTTTCCTTTCCCTATTGCATTATGTGTCATCAGTAACTATAAGCTCTGATTCTTCTGTTAACAAAATATCTCAAAATCTTCTGGTATTGTAGTTAGTCTCTTGTTGCGTACTTGAGTTTGGTTTCTAGAAATTTTTGTTCTATTGAATATTCTTTCTGAATCTTAACATATATGGTATTGTGCCTAGTGATGTGACATTCTTTTGACTTCCTTTCATGGTTTCTGCCACTCTGAAATTTCCATAATGGATTCTGATTAGTTGTGCTTCTCTGCTAGATATTAGGAACTGGATTCGAAATATTGAGCAACATGCCTCCGACAATGTAAACAAAATACTTGTAGGGAACAAAGCTGACATGGATGAAAGCAAAAGGGTATGCTATTGTTTACATTAATTATGCTTACATTTATCATTTTTATCTTTTCGGTACCCACACTCTATATGGGTTAAGCAAGCAAGAAAACAATAAACGGCAAAGAAAACACTTTTTTGCTGAATCTAATTTTTTTTTGAACTCTGTGTAGGCTGTGCCAACAGCTAAGGGCCAAGCACTTGCTGATGAGTATGGGATTAAGTTTTTCGAAACTGTGAGTATATTGAAAGTACGAATAAAAATGTTTGAAGTTGGTTCTTTTCTTACTAAGAGGTAATATTTCTTGCAGAGTGCTAAAACAAATCTTAATGTGGAACAAGTTTTCTTTTCAATAGCAAAGGATATAAAGCAGAGGCTTGCAGACACCGACTCAAAGGCAGAGGTATATAAGCCGATTCAACTTTCGCTATGTTTGGAAGTTTTTTACAATAATGTATTTGTGGTATAAATTTACTTTTGTATATTGCAGCCTACCACAATCAAGATCAACCAACCTGAATCGGGAGCTACATCTGGTCAACTCGCCCAAAAATCTGCTTGCTGTGGTTCATAAGGTGTCTAGTTGAATACAGTCACTAGAAAAGGACTAACTTTGATATGACAAATATATATATATTGGGTGCTTGTATTTTCTTACTTTATTACGGAGTATTTTGAATCTTGTGTGACTGATGAAAGATAGTTTTTTTTTTTTTTTTGGGTTTATGTGAAAATCTCATTTCTCTTTTGGTACTTCATTCTCCCTCTCCATATGAGTTAAGCAAGAATACAATGACTAAGTAATAATATAGTTAGCTTACTATTAGTTGTTTGACTTGGTTAAACAATCAATACGAGTGTTTGATTAATTAGCTTTTTGTAACAGTTGATTACTCTAAAATGCTAAAATTTAAAAGGTTGCTTAAAGTAGTTTTTTTGATCAGTTTTTTTTTAAAAAGTCATTTTATACGTAATCAATTACCAATTAACATTAATTTATCAAACATTTTTTTTTTTTATAATCAGCTAATGTTATCAACTAGTCAAATTTATTAATTCAATCAGCTAACAACTATTTGTTAACACCTAACATTGAAGAGAATAATCAGACTGTATTATTGTTAGATTAGAAATTGTTTGATGAAAAACTGTTATTTGGAGTTCTCTTCTTTCGCAGGGTAGGAAAGCTGAACTCAATTGACCAATTCAAAAGCCACGATGCTTGATCACAATTACATAAAAAAAATTAAAATAGAATTATTAACAAGTTGACAGTGTTTATTTAGATAGTAAAATTATAGTTTAATATGTAAGTGATTTGGGTTAAATTCTCATAATAACGTTTTAAGTTCTATTATTCTGTAAGGTATACAAGTTACAAATAACCGCAATGTGCGGAAAAAAAAAAAAAGAGTCAATAAATGTCGAACGACGAAGATAAATAAAGGTACCATCTTTCAATATTTCATTCACTATTATTAGATTTTTAAATTTTTAGACTAGTTTTTATACACATGTGAATTCCGATGTACAAAAGTAAGCGTTTTACATTACTATTTAATATTGGAATAATAATTATGTTTATAACTTTATATAATTTTAGAATCCATTATCGTAATATTGCTATGTATGTTAAGAAAATTCTATTCATATAGAAAAAAAAAATGATAATTAAAGAATGTTAAATTATATATAGTATACAAAGTTATAAAATTTTTAGACTAGTTTTTATACACATGTGAATTCCGAGGTACAAAAGTAAGCGTTTTACATTACTATTTAATATTGGAATAATAATTATGTTTATAACTTTATATAATTTTAGAATCCATTATCGTAATATTGCTATTTATGTTAAGAAAATTCTATTCATATAGAAAAAAAAATGATAATTAAAGAATGTTAAATTATATATAGTATACAAAGTTATAAAAGTAATTGGTGCAAAATCATTTTAAAAAAATTAATTTATTGTATCTACATATATAAGGGTGCATTGTCATATTTATGTAGTCATCAATATTAGAATTCATTAAACAGTATGTAACAAAGTTATAGCAGTGTAAAGATAATATTGACTAAAAAAATGTAACAAAGTCATTTGCGTTCAATAAAAATATATTTATTTTTTTAAAAATATTATTAACTCTATTAAAATGTAATATCTGTTCATACATACTTTTTCAACATACTAAAATACAAATAGTCAATGCCCGCACATTGAAATTTGAACCTGAGACCTCTCATTTGCTCAGTACAAATATACATGTACTGAAGTAGTACAATATATACGTTTTATTAGTATGCGAAATCAGACAAAAACTAAGAATATATAATGAAGATCCGACAAATATTTGATGTGACAATGATGACACATAACGGGTATAATTCATCAATGCTTACTGGATTTATGGGATCACTAATTTTGGGATTCATATATATGTAATTAATTAAAGGTAATATATAATTACTGGGCGATAGATTTGGTCAATTAGTATTACTCCAGTAGTATATAAGACGCAAAAATAATGCATAAAAACAGACACATTTGTATAAGCAAATTAAAGGTTGAAGTTCGAAATGTGGAAGGCAACAGCTTTGTTGGTCGTCGTCTTCATCTCTGCTGTCATTTATGGTATTATTATTATTTACTTCTATTATATGTTGTTAATTTAGTAATCACAAAGTTAAAAGTTCGACACCACATAAGAACAATAATCTTCTTTGTTTGAACCAGTTAGTTATGAATAACTTAGGCTGATTTACTTTCTACTGGTCTTTCGTTGGGATTACGAGACAGGGTTTATCTAGTGCAACATGTTTTTGAATAGTGACGGCGTGTTTTAGTCGTCACCCGAAATATATATGTATATTTTGAATTAATTAATTAATATATATGTATATTTTGAATTAATTAATTAATTAATATTGGGTTGTTGCAGATGTTGGAATGGTTGAAGGGGCTATATGCACAAGTTTTACTGGTAAAAACCAATGCAGATTTGGACCTGATCATGGCTGTTTCCAACTATGCACCCTAGCTTTGAACAAACCTATTGTGGATGCAAATTGTGTGATTGATGGAAGTGGCACAACCATGTGTCAATGCAAGTTCAATTGCTAATTATTCTTCAATATTCTATTTCTAATAATGCCCTTTAATTTGAACAATTGCTTTGAAATTGAAAGGGAAAGGATATGATAGGGAAAATGCTAGTTTTGTTTTGTAATACATGTTTTGAGGATATAATCGCTTCAGTTTTTCTAGTTCTTATGTTATTTTTTCGTTAATCTTAATCTATGCTCGGACTAAATTTACTAATTAACTCCAATCGTTTGTATTGTTACATGTAAAAAAAAGCTTTAATTCATTTTTTGGTATAGGTAGATATACCTTTTGATAGGGTTATGAGTAATTGTTATCTTTCTAAAATATTTAGGATGACAACCGATCATATTAATCAAAATTATCATTTTCTTGGGTGCTTGAATGGTTTCTTGGTTATAAATGATTTGGCCCTGCATTTCTATGTGTTAATATAATGTATAATAACATCGAAATTTAAAGAGATTATACTATAATAGTAAAATTATATACTAATCAAAATGATCTATATATAAACTCTTGAATTAACAAAATGTGCTTCATATAGAAGGTAAAGTACCAACTAGCCACACAACAAGTCTCTCATGGGACATTGTTATTTATGAATGTTTTTATGAAGTTTAAGAGCTTAGATAAGATTAAGGTCCGATCTTAGATGATTAACTCATTCTAGGTAGAGAAAGAGGAAAATTATCTACAAATGATTTTTGAAGTGCACACAAATTTTATTTTATTTTTTTAAGAAGTGAAAGTTAAAATTTTTAAACTATGAGGGTCTCGTTAAATAGGAGTATTAGAAGACTCTGGATACAAAAGATAAGACTCGGAAGACATATTTAGTACAACAATTTTATATGACATGACCTAAGGTACAATAATGTAACAAAAGCACACCCTGACAAATGATATGATTCTAAAGAGTTAAAATCAAATAAAATTGAATCTCTTTTATAAAAAGATTAGTATTTAATTGAATCTCTTTTATAAAAAAGATTAGTATTTTTTTATGCGCGATGCGCACAAAATATGTGCCCAATATTAGTATTTTATATTAAAATTTTAATATAAACGGAAGAATTTTTTTTTATATCTAGTAAATATTGCGAAGGAATTTATTCCGCCGCGATTTATTTTTTTAAATTTTATTTCTCCCAACTCTTTAAATGGTGTCATTTTCATGTGATGGAAAAATAATATGGCGACGGAATATTCGTTTCAAATATGACGACAGAATTAGCGTCGGAATCATTTTTGTTGTGCAAATTGCGACGGATTTCGTCGCAAATTCGCGACGTCTTTTCCGTCGCCAATTCCGTTGCCTGATTTGTGACGAAATTATTTCGTCATCTATTAAAATACGACAACGCGATAGAATTTTTTTGTCACAATTCACGATTTATCTTGTAGTGAATTAATTAAAACATCCAAAATAGCATAAAACACTCTTCATACCTTCCGTGCACATTTTTTCTAACAGTGGCAATAAGTTTTCTTCGTCATTAACAAATTCAAATACTCATATGAAATAAACTGTTACTAAAATATGTTGTGAATTTTTAGACTAGTCTTTGTACACACGCAAATTGCGATGCACAAAAGTAAGTGTTTGACACCTTTATATCTATAATAAAGCCATATCTTTTGGTAAAAAATAACTATTTTCATTTTTCTTGTCCAGTGAACACGACGTTGTTTCGATAGATTTGTAAGACATTAATTGTACATTTATTGTGTTCACATTTTAAGTGCAAATGTCTTTTATCATCTCCAAGTAACATTAATTGATTAGAGATGAATTTAAAATTCAAAATCAGTATTTACATGAACATTTATACTTCAACACTATAAATAAGTCATTATATTATAACCAATCTTACGATTTGGCATGTGTAACCCACGGGCGAACCCAAACCCCCCACACGGGTTGAAAAACGGGTTCAACCCAACCCGTTTAAACTACGGGTTACACGGGCCCAACTCGACAACAAATAATTGATGACGCAATAGAGTATGTCATTTAATAACAGATTTTTAGTGGAATTCATTAATTAATGCTAACTTAAAGTCACCAGTCATCATTTAACCACAAATTTTTGGGTAGAATTCATTAATGCTTACTGAATTTATGTGATCATTAATTTTGGGATTCATATAGCTATAGTCCAGCACTATAAAAGATGCAAAAATAATGAGTGAAAACAAACACATTTGTATAAGAAAATTTAAGGTTGTAGTACAGTTGAAATGCCAAAGGCATCAGCTTTGTTGGTCTTCGTCGTCCTCATCGCTGCTCTCCTCTCATTATTCTTACTTCCATTTGTAGGTAATAAACATATATTTCATCTCAAAGTGACCTATTGGCCTCCTAACTTTCTTGGTTTCCTAGATGTATTAATTTACCACCTTGTGATCCTTTACCCGTTAGGATCATAAGGTTGTGAGCGGCCTATTGACCTTCTAGCCTTCTTAGTTTCTTAGGCTGATTTATTTTCTTGTGACTCTTTACTGATTAGGATCATAAGGTTGGGAGCAGCCTATTGACCTTCTAGTGTTCTTAGTTTCCTGGTCGGCTAGGTTCACAAAGTTGGGAGTGACATATTGACCTGCTTCTAG